AAAACTACTCTATCCTGGAAAACCGTCTTGGTTATGACAATCTTGCAGTCTTCTCACTGGCCTGGGTTGCCCATCGCTTTGCGGCTCCTCTCCTCCCACCTGAATTATGATCCTCTCATATGCAGTAGAACAATCAACCTCATCCAGACCAGATGTTTTCTGAATTCAGAGAATCGGGGAGCAAGGGGGAAGATGGATGAATTTCAGGCCTTCTCATTTTGCCTAAACAACCAGAATTCTAGCCCTCTGCATTCCCCTATAAATAACTTAAATAGGACACTGTCAGTTCAAATGGTGCCCGAAACTTTAGTTTAATAAAAACTGCCTTTAGAGAATTTAAGATTTATTATTCAGATGTACAAGATATTAGAAATAGTAAAGATTTCTATGCAGTTTAATCAATAAACACTTGGATTTTGAAAAGTAATTTTATGCATATTAGTATTCCTATGAAACTTAATAAGAATACTAACATGTGCAGTTATTCATATGGGCCAAACACTGTAGCTCTAGTCAAGTGGAGGAAAGCTGAAAGTAAAGTTGACTATAAAGTGATTAGTCTGAGAAAATGCAAAAACAACAAAATCCAAACAATGTCATTAGTGAAGCATTACCTTATTCAAATTCTCAACTTTAGAAAGATTAAAATTATTTTTAAAGGTACTGGCATGGTATAGAAACATTAAAAATCCCATTTATCTTTCTGATAAGCTCCCTAAAATTACTACCATCGTGCGCGCGCACGCACGCACGCGTGCGCGCGCACACACACACACACACACACACACAGAGAGAGAGAGAGAGAGATGGCTCAAATTACAACAAAAAGCTCACACACTTAGCCAGTTTGTAATCCTAAAGAAAGAGATGTCATTCTTTTCAATTCCCCCACTAGTCTATCCCTTTGATATACAGCAGTTTCAAATTGTTAAGCACTGAAAATATAAACTTGACCAAATACAGTCAAGCAAGTTTCTCAGTAGGAATTAGTACATTCAAAATGAATTGTAGGGGTGTGCAGAGCAATACTTTATCATCCTGGGAAGAATCTTGTTGGCCTGCCGCCATGTTAATTTGGCCTGTAGACAATACTAACTCTTCCATTCCCTACAGCAATTTTTAAAGCAGAACTACCCATCTAAAAATCAAATACTTTTCAACTTCTCTTTTTCATCTCATACTGTAACTGAACTATATTTCTCTTTTCACCTACAGGTCTCATTGCAGTGACTCCCTCTTAACTTTTTTTTTTTTGTTCAAATGACTTGTATTTTGTGTGTTCAATATCTAACAGTTTCTATTCCTTTCTTTCATTTTGATTTTCTCCCTCCCCCTAACCCATCCTCTTTTGACTCCAGCATTTGTGCACATACTCTTGTGCCCTAATTTTTTTTAAAAAAGATGTTTGAACAGTATTTTATTTAACTAAGGTACACGTACCTTTTCAACATTTAGTTTTTTCTAATTTCTCTCAAGTGAACATACAAGCGTTCAAAAATAAATTAACTCCTCATGATTCCACTTGCAGTTCAAAGTATTATGTTTCCCTTACAACTGTGCAGAGACCTCCATTCAGTCATTTATGTGCCAACCGTGTAGTCAACTGTTACAAGCTATAAAGACACACCTGAATTCAAATAAGTCTTGGTGAAGTAAAAGATTTTTTTTTATAAGGAAGTCACAGGTATAGGACTGCAAAAGTGATTTTAATAGCTTCTGGCCAACAGCCAAAGTGAGTTTTCAATCTCCTTTCAAATTATTAAATTCTCTGTTAAATTTGGCTTGTTTTGCAGTAGTAAGTCACCAAAGCTGCAAGGTAACAAAAGAATGCTAATCTTGCATTTCATTAATACTGTAGATTGAGACAATATACTGCAAACTTGGGGAGATTCTGACATTGGAGTTCTAGGCACTATCCCACTCAAAAGAGAGATACTTATTTTCATCTCGGATTTTTAGCAATAGTACATGCAGACACAAGCCAACAATGGGCTCTTAGGCTACAGTAGAATTTCACTGATCAGCCAGAGCCAAAGTATGCATAAGCGCCCTTAATGAACACATTCCATAAGGGGCTCCAGAGCATCAATATTAGCCAGATGACTTCTCTGAACAATCTGACACTCACTAAACAGCTCTGGATATAACTTTCTAAAATGCCCTAAAGTAAATGAGGAATCATGTGGAGCTCAGAGAAGTTACCATGAATCACCTACAACTCTGACTCACCCATCATTGCCTGTTAAAGGTGGCTGCCAGACTAAAATTACATCTGCGAAGCGCCATGAACACCTAAGGCAATAAATATATTCCACTCCTTGCTTGCTGTATTTCAAAACTAACACTGTCTGCTACCTGTGTTTACACTGCTTACGTCTTGTTCTTACTGCCCACCCACGTAATTTATTCTGTGGGTAATAACTTTAGGACAGAAATAACCAATTTTTACCAGACTTGAAGTTGAACCAAAAAGACAGTTGAAGGTTAGGACTTTTGAAAAGTATCTAGTTGAGTTACATTTGAAAATGGAAGTTAAGTTAAGTTCGGCACTTCAGAGCTTAATTCCCATTGAAAGCCAATGGGATTTAAAGAGCCTCTGGCAGGCAAGATTAAATATTTAGATGCCTAAAGATACAGAAAGGTACCTAGTGGGGTTTTAAAAAATGTTTACACTATGTAGGCAGTAGGGTTGTCTCTGGTTAACCTGTGGCCTGGCCCGTTGCACAATGCTGGACTGGAGCAGCTCCCCCACCTGGGGATACCATCTAAGTGGTTAACTAGTTAACTCAATGTTTAACCGGTTGACTGATTAAATGGGATTTTACATCCCTATTAGGTACCATGACATTTTCATGGACCTATGTAAACCCACCTAAGTGCTGACATTGTGCCACAGCTAAAGAGATGTGTCAAGCCCTAGCTTAAGTCCAAGCCCAGGAGGCACCAATGTAGGATTTTTAAACCAGCCAAGGAACACTTACATCACCAGCGGGGGCCAATCCTACAGGTAATAGGCCTGCCAACCTCTGTATCACGAGTCTCAGAGGTAGACTACCAATAGGTGCATGCAGAAAAGGCAGTGAGGGTACAAGGAGTCATAAGACAGGTTTCAAGAATAAGGAGGAGAGATTGTTCTGGCTGCTAAAGCATGAGCTACCTAAGAGGCTGACCAATCTTAGGTGCATAACCCCAGAAAATTCACAGCTTTAATGGAGACAGGTAGCTATTTCTGGCCCAGTCAACCATTTCAATGCCTTAGCCTTTCTTCCCTCCACTTCACTTATGAGTAGCTTAGGCAGCTTCTGAAAATCCCTTCTTACATATGTAAGCTCTCTTCATGTAGTGTTTGGGGAGGTGGGTACCTAATATGGGGCAGGCCGGGTAGGGATTAGGCATTACAACAACAGACAGAACACAGCATAAGTACTTTGAAAGACATGGGCCAAAATACTTCTGAAAATCCCACTAGGCAAGTGAATACTTTTTATGAATAATGTAGGCACTTAGAACTAGAATTTTAAAAATAGCAAACGCTTTTAGAATTTTTATCCAGGGTTTAAGTCCCCATGATCAAAACAGAGAAAGAGTTACAAATAACTCAAATATTTGAGGAAGAGTGACTAGAATAGGTCTCATGAGTTTTTTTATTAAGCCTCTATCACATTTTAAAAGTGTGTTTTAGAAATTTCCATTTAGTTATATATGATTTTCTGTATTCTCCTTCCTGTCACTGTAGATTATTAAAGCAGCTATGTACAAAGAGAATCTCTTATCACCAGCTTCCATCCCTCTGTAGCTGATTGACCAATGTCACGATTCTGGATGACAATACCACCAGGTCCATGGTATACAATGTGATGTCATTATATCTGACAGTTGTGCCACCATACAAATCAGGGAGCCTTAAAAATACTACTACCTGCAGTTAATACCTGGCAAAACAAACAACAAAAACTGTTACAGAAAAATTACTTAAGTGATTCTTTGTGTAATTATTTCTGCACCTGAAATAAGGAAGAATGCAAAAAAAATTTTTTTAAATTTAAATATCAAAATACTGCCTGCAGGGTTTGACTGGTTTCTTTTGGTTTAAGGCAAATATCTGAGGCTATGTCTACGCTACTGACCTGACCATGCATGGCACAGAAGTATCGCTATAACCACTATGCTGTAAGGTCTCCTGTGTAGCTGCTCTACAACAGGAGTGGGCTCTCCTGCTAGCATGATTAACCCTCCAATGAGTATTGGTAGCTATGTCAGCAGGAGATGCTCTTCTCCTGACAGAATACTGTCCACACAGACACTTTTGTGAGTGAAATTTTGCCAGTCAAGGTTATTGGTTTTTACCACATCCCTGCTCAACAAAAATGTTTTGCTAACAAAAGCGCTACTGCAAACACAACCTAAAGGTCTGAATTTTAGTAGATAGGTTAGACAAATCACTTTTAAAACTCCTTCCACTGTCAGCTGCGGGCCATAGGCCAAATCCTACCTTCATTCTGACCACCATGTTGCAGAAGTTAGTGAAGAATGTACTTATAGGAAGTTGTTTCTCCTTTATACAGAACTAAACTCGACAGTTTGTGGACAGGAGACATAGTAAAAGAACTAGAGTTTCTTCTATGATCATTCTATTATTTATTTTATAGATATTTGATCTTACGTAAGAGAAAATGTTAGCAATGTTTTCACTTAGGGTTATATCTCTCTTGTTAAGCCATTAAGAACTGAATAGTGGGAATATAATATTTGCAGAGAATTCCTGCTAGTGAACTGGATGCACCAAAATGGAAAAACTTCCAGAAGCTTTTAAAAACTTATATCTACTCACTCTCCATATGAAATTTTTATAGGATTTCTATAAATTGCTGACTTCAGTACATTTGCCAGGTTGCCTTATAAACAAACTTGTAGTTAAATGAAAACTGTAGAAAAGAGAAAAAAAAATCTGAAAAGAGCAAAAAGTCACACACAAAAATGTTTGAACTACCACCACTAACCTTGCTGTTCACTGTCTGTTTCAACTTTTGCAGAGCTTGGTGCTACAGGAAGGGGTCGAGGAGGACGAGGCTTTGGAGTTGGGGGAGAAATTTTTTTTCTTCCAATATACTCTACATAAGTTCCTGGAAAGTCACCCTTCTCCCCTGTGGTTTCATTACAGCCATTCAACCAACCAATTTCCTCAGGCTTTGCTTCTTCCCCATCACTAAATCCAAGTGCTACTAAGGTACCTTTATTCACCGTTAATATATCCCCTTTGTGCAAGTCAATGTCGTCTTCTCGCTCTTTTTTGTAGTCATATAAAGCTCTGTACTGGTATCCTTCTGCACTCATCTTGGCAAATATTTTAATGTTCAATAATGTAATTAAACAATAACAAATCTCAAGTTGTCCAGATTAATCTTTATGTACAAAGAGATTAAAAATGTACTAAATGGGATAGTTAAAAAGTCAATAGCAATTTCTAAAGAATACAATCCTCCAAAGATTCATAAAGCACCAGGATCTGGAATTGGTTTGCTGATGTTTTACTTAATGTATCTGTTTATTTAGAATAAGAAGAACGTGTTCCACTTCTTCTATGTCTAGATCAATATTCTTCCAATTAATTCCTTTTCTGAGTTTCCTGGCTCTCCTGGGACCAAGAATTCAAGTGTAGCTGAAATTTGCAGACTGTTACACCTTCTTCTGATGTACTTGCCATAGAACATCCATGTGTCTCAAGTCTTTTGTTATTGAGCTCTGTGCACATGCTGTACCTAGAAAAAGAAAGAGATTCATGACCTTGTTTCAGACTTCATTAAGTTTAAGTTTGCAACACTTAAACTATGTTACATTTAAGCTATATTCAGGACACACTTTTCAAACCATGGGACAGGTCATACATTCACATGGAAAGGCCCAAAAGCTATAGACCAAAACTATGGCCATTTACAACTGTTAATTTTCTGTCAGAAGAAGCTAATTTAAATCCTTCAGTCAAATAGGTGGTTTGTTCCTCTGAACCTCTGTATCTCAAGACACCGGGGCATGCGTTATGGATATTAGCGTACCTGCAGAGGACTAGCTCCACCACACTTCTTCCTTCAGCACACTATTTAACCTGGCAGCAGTGATCTATCTAATGCCTTTCTTCTCAGGAGATTTGCCAAGACAGAATGGGAACCCACTAGTGGAAGTGATGACATGGTCAGAATTCACATCCAGAGTATTCCTTTGAGGGTTTAGCAGAGAATAAAGATGCCCAGAAATGTTTTCCTGTAGCCCCATGGACCTCCATACAACTTTGCAGAGAGTAGCTCACTTGCTTGTTTGTGTTGGAGAAATAGGCAGAGGAGTGGAGGGTTGTTTGAGCAATTTTACCACACTTGCCTTCAATTTTCACGCTCTGCTCAACAGAAGTCAGAAGTGATTCTACTCTGGCTCTCTGTTTCTTAAATTAAGCTACTTTGTGTTTTGGTTAGGTGAGGGTCTTCCCCCTCAATTATTAATTTGTTTTTTTAGATAAGATATATTATGCAGCAACTGAAACTGACACACCCAGACCACCTAAGAAGGAGCAACTGAGCAGGGTTGGGAGGGTGGGAGTTTAAAATAACTTAATGCAAAGACTATAGGTCTGAAAGTTAAATCAAATCTAAAGAGAAAACAATAAGTTAAACACTGTTGAAAAAGAACCTTTAGATATACTATATAGAACTACAGAATCTTTTTAACACTTTATTATTTCAACTATTATCCCTTTGCATTCACTTATGTCCCGTCATAATTTGAACTGCTTTGTTGGGATATCAAAGACTGCAAAGTATTCAATGTCACACTGAAAAACTTTTAAATTGCAGCATAATAAAAGTCCTAAGAGTGTTATGTAATATGAGCAGGCAACAATTTTACTGTATATTGAAGTGCTGTGCAAATGTTTATAAACTAGCTTACAGTAGTAGAACAAAGAAACAAGTCTGAATAATCCTATATCAGAAGAATAAAAGGAGAACAAAGGGCCCAATTCACTGGTATGTTAGAAAACCTTTGTTCTGCTCAAGTAGCATGAAGTTGCCCTAAGCCCAATTTAGCTGGACACTGTTGGATTCATCCTGCATTGTAGAATCCTCAAAAGAAACAGTTGCCATAATGGCTGCTACATCACCTTCCATACCATCTTCCCAAGCAGGGAGAGTATACAATCCCTGCTTCTAGTTAATTTCTGGCAGCTATAATGGGACCAGGAGATGCACACCGCTGTAGTTGGATCAGGAAGGAGTTATTGGGGCCTCACTTACACACAGCTAATGCCGCAAACAATGACACTGAGATTGCAGATAGCATGCAGCAATAGAGGTGGTTGTCAGGCAGTAATAAGGGTTTCTGAAAGATTAGACCATGATATCAGACGAGTCAGTTTTTAGTGGGTTGACAGCAGCCATTTTGTCCATCCTCCCAAAGTTCTTCACATAAAGACCAGTCAGTTTTTGTACACTGATGGGCAAATATGATCTTAAATAAAGAGTTTTAAATGCAGCAATAAACTAGAGCCTTACATATTAGTTCAGATGCATGGCAATACACTTTTTAGAAAAATCAATGGTGTCACCAGTTGCTTATTTAACACCTGTTAAGGTGTTAAATAGACAATCATTATTCCAAATGGAGTTATATGGTCTCCATCTTCCGATATTTGAGTTAAAAATAAATATCTAAGAGGTTGTCTTAAGTATTATTCATCAAATGGAGCTTAAAAAGGAGGAAAAATGACGCAGCAATGGCAAGAAACATAGCTATATTTAGGGAGGAAATATGAATGAATAGCTAGGTGCCCAAGAGAGCTGAATAGGGCATGATGTGTTCTATTGCAGTCTAAGGGTTTGAGCTTAATGAGATAGGGATTGATAAGGGTTACAAGTACTCCTAAGTCTGGGAAGAATTCCAGCTCTGAGTTGTGCTAAAACTCCTTACTAAAAATTCAGCATTAGATTGCTAGGGGTTCCTACAAATCATTCTTCACTCTGATTTGTTTTAAGCATTTTTCCCTGTTTCCAAAAAATAATGTTCTGGCACCCACACCTGTGGTACCAAAGCATTTCCTCCCACAGCAGCATTCCTCTGTTGACTAACTGAAAAAGAATATGGTTCTGCCTTCCACCCTCATGAATACATGTTGCTTTCAATCTTTGTCAGACTAGAGGGAGACTTGTTTCAATCTTCTCATGCTCACATGTATCCTCAAAATACTTATTATCAGGGTAACAACAATCCACCCCCTCCCCACTCTCGACAGACTATGCACAAGATACTATTGTTCCTACCATACATGCATTCATATGACCTAACGATTCCCCTAATCTGCTGCAGGGAAAAAGAAAATTCCTAGAAAATCTGTATAGCATAGGAACTTTCCTTCTTTAATTATCACATGAGTTGTCAGCAAAAGAACAGATCAACAAATTTAGAGCTGCAGTGGATATTTGCTGGACTAACTTCTCCCCACTAGGTGTCTACAAGGTGCAACTCAAAATTTTAGTTATCTCTACAGTGAAAGTGTGATGCTACTATTCTCTAAATAGAAGTAAGCAAGGTAAATAGCTTGTTTAGATGCTATTTTTCTAAAGAAAGTTAATATAATACTCAATACATTTTATGATAAATAATAAACCAATGAAATATCGCACCACTTTAAACTGCTTCATTTAAGAATAAAGCATTATAAGTAACTGTGGTTTTCTGTAGAGAATTAATTCAAATTTTCTACACAGACAAACTACATTGATCAATCCCAGATTCCAGCAAGGAATGAATGCCCTTCTGAAACGTAAGCAGACATACCATAAAAATTATATATACACTGACTGCAGGGCCATACTGGAGATAAGTGACAGCGTCTTGATTTTTTTTTTTTTTTTTTTTGGTATTTGTACCATCTTATATTGCAGCCAGACCTAAGTATCTTTCCATCCTATTAAGGAGGAGGAGAAGTAATCCCATTTGGGATCCTCTTCTGACAGGCAATTAAGGGGTCACTCATAGACTGAAATAACTTCTGCAAAGAAGTTAGCTTTCCATCAGTCAGAAGGCCAGAATTCTGTCCCCACAGGTGTAAGATTGGGGGACAAGCTAACAGCTGACAGCACAACATACTGCAAGTACAGTCAATCCATTGCTTGGAGGCAGGTATTTGGCAACCAATTGTACTTTTTTCTCCCACTTCAGGACCAGAATCCTTGAACTATTAGATTGTATCTACAAAAGCAGACAGGAAAGTTGCAATACTCTTAATAAAAGCTATTCTTCCTTCAACTATTATTATTAAGGCTCAGAAAGAAATGCAGTTTCTCAAAGCAGTATGAAATATTCCATATCAAGCTGCCATCTCCCAAGGAAAGTTTGTTGTATAAATCTGTATAAAAGCTGGCTAACTAAGGACACTGGTTATATTGCTAAATAATCTCTCTAAAAGTTTTTTGTTTTATTTTTTAAATATATGGGGCAAGTTTTTAGAGATCACTGAGAAAGAAAGGCAAGACAAAGCCTAGTTCTCTCCATAATCCTCACAACATAAAGGCAAGTAAAGATTCATTGATTTTAAAAAGTTTCTAAGCACAGTCCATAAGAAAGAGGGAACACGAGCATTATGTACATACATCTGAGTTGTAAGGAGCACGTGAAAAACTGCCCCATTTCTTTGTTAAACTCATATTGGTCACGAATAAGAGAGTGAACGCTGAGAGAGTTAAATCTAAAATTGCAATGCTATGAATGCTTTTACTCAACAGTTACCCATCTAACATCTTGCTATGCTCATACACTACACACTGCACAACTGACTTGGGAAGTGCCATCCACTCTTTGGTGTGTCAAGCCAGCCCATTCCTTTATTAAAAAATAATCGGCAGGCCAGCTGGGGGACTTCAAGCTCGCTTCGGTTCCCGCCGGGCAGTCAATAAGCTCTGGAGCTTCAAAGTTGGAAGCTTCCCGGAGTCGCTCTGCCTCCCGCAAGGCCGGGGGCAGCAAAAACGCTGCACACAAAGGGGGACGCGACTCCTGCACAGAGCCTGCCTGCACAGGGCAACCCCGCCGCGCTCTCCCTCGCCAGCTCGGCCCGGGGCAGGGCTCCGCGAGGTTCTGTACAGCCCAGCGCTTCCCCCGCCGCCACGGGCTTGCTGCAGCTCGGGCCCGTGGCGCCGCGCAGGGCAGCGCTTCCTGCCACCACCCCACGGGCGCTGGGCTCAGAGCTGCCCCGGCGCGAGAGGCCCCGGCCGCGTCGGGAGGAGCCCGGCTGGCTCGGGCAGCTCCTCCCCGGGCCGGGCACAGCCCTTACCGTCCGCTGCCGCTCCGCGCCGTCCCTCGCTCCTTCCCCGCGGCCGGGAGCCCGCGCCTGGTACCGCCACCGCCGCGTCCCGCTCGGCTCCTGCAGCTCCGCCCGGTGCCCCCTCCCGGCCCGGCCCCGCCTCCCCGCTCGCGCCCGACCAACCCGCGCCCGGCTGCGAGGGCAGAGCGCCGCCCCCCCCGCTCGCGCCGTCATGCAGCGGGCAGCTCGTGCTGCTGACCCGGGCGCCGCCGCCGGCCTTGCACCCCGGGGGCCGGGTCCCGCCCTGGAGCCGCTCTGCCGCCTGCACCGAGCCCCCCGCCCTGCCAGGGCGGAATTGGGGCCCTGCGTTGTCGTCCCCAGTGGCTGCGCAGAAGGAAGTCCGGGCCCGCAGCGGCCACTTGGTTCCCCCGCGGGGCCCTTTGGCTTTTGCTGGCCGTAGGGGCAACACGGGTCGGGGTGCTGGGCTCCGGCGGGGTAGCCCGGTTGTGAGCGTTCTGCCTGTCTCCCCGCAGCGTGCCCAGCCGCATCCCCAGGGCTGGCCAGTGGCTGTGGGAACGCACTCAGTGCAGCAAAGGAGGAAGAAGAGTAAGAGAGGCCGGGTGTTGGGACAACGAGACATCACGTCTTCTCTGCATTCTGATCCTCCTAGGGTGGCTTTTTAAAAATATCGTAATATATGAATGTTCAGACGGGGCTGGTTGTGCCGCTCTGTATGTGTATGGGTACCCAGTGCAACCCAGTGTCATCTTCGTTGCTGCCTGCCCCATCAGCATGATGCAACAGGGTGGCATTGTGTCAAAAAATCATCCTGTCACAATTTCGTGGCATTTTCCAAGTCCTGAAACCTGACTATGGGACAGTCCAATTTAAAAAATAAGGCTAGACTGCAAAATCAGAGACAGATGATAATGAACCCTTGTGCACTGCTCACTTCCATCCAGTGGTACATAATCTAAGATAAGATGTCATGGACCCAAAGCAGTAGGCAGGGAGGGGGTTAAAGCAAGAAGCACAGTAAATGAAAGGCAGTGGGGGCCAAGATACTAGACAGGTAAAATTAGTTAACATTTTACAGTGCCAAAGTATTCTAGAAACCATGCAGTAAAGATTTAAATGGCATAGACCCTGCTCCCAAAGAATTTACACTCTAAATTGTATGTGACAGCAACAGGTGTGACCGAAGTACATGGGTTGCAGCAACAGGATCATGCAGTTAAAACATGTTCACATCAAGCAAGAACAGGTATTTGGTTGTCTAAATAAATATGTGTACAAATGTTGTTCACTTGTGGGTGTCAGTGTGCAAGTTGGTTTTGAGGGATTTCAGAGAGAGAGTGGCTTGGCAAATCAGTTCTGAGAGGACATAATGCATAGAGACCAGCAGCATGGAAAATATGCAGACAGCAATGCAATATGCAAACGGGTAATCAAGGCCATGTCATTGCTGGGTGAGTGTGAGTGGACAGAGTCACTGGACAAGACACTAGGCGGGGTGTGTAGGCACAAGTGGAGGTGTGTAGAACTTTGAAAGCAAGGATAAGGAATTTATGCTTGTGGTGGAACAGGGAGAGCCAGTGGAGAGATTCAGAAGGGCAGGATATAGTCAGACTGACTAGCCAAGATTATTTTAGCAGCTGTGCTTTGTGTGAATTGGAGAAAGGTGATGTGAGTGTCAAGGAGGTCAGAGAAAAAGAGGTTGCAGGACATAAGGCCTTGCACAAAAGCTTTGCTTGTCTGGACAGTGGGAAGGGATCAGAGCCATGAAATGCTGTAGAAGAAACAGAGAGACTTAGACTGATAAAGTGATTCAGATGCCCAAAAAGGTATCTGATGTGGAGCCTAATGATTAAAACAAAAGTACATTTTTATAGGGAACTGCCCTGCTTTCAGTGCTTTGCTACTGAAAAAGTAAATCTGTTAATCAACTGATTGTAGCCACTTTTGGTAGGGAGCAAAACAGATTCACGCTAATTAGTTTTCACTACTGAAAGGTTAGTTGATAGTGGGCATGAAGGAAGCTAAATATTTTTTGGAGTTCTGAGTTAATTTTGACCATATATTTTTATTTTTTATCAAGGAATTTTTAATCAAAACTCTGAAAAATCCTGAACTCTATCATTAACTTCACATTTCTTATTAGAATGTTAAATTAGCAACCACTGTTATTTAGGCCCACTATTAAACAAATGAGTTTCACTCTAGGGTGTATTTTGCAGCAGAAGCATTTTTTTTCTTACTCCACAAGTTTTTAATTAGAACACAAAATCAAACTATTTTTGTTTTCAAAGATGTCTTCCTTACGAAAGTTTCCCCATGCTTTCATACTGGGGACCATTTGAATCCTCTCTGAATCCTTCAGATTTATTGAAACAACTAGTTTTGTATCCAAGGGGAAATGAATGGATTCTCTTTGAATCGTATGAACACTACTTCTTCACTGGTTCTTTAGGATGACTTACCTATGCACTGGTGCTTTCTGCTTCTGTGTACATTAATAAGTGCAACTGGGCCCCAGTCATGATATGGACAGTCTGGAGTTTATATATTAAGTACAATAAATTGAGGGAACTGCCAGGCCTACCATCTTTGCTGAAGGCTTGAAAATGCAGGACTGAAGACAAAGGTAGAGTAAAGTTATCTTTTCTGTCCAAACTTCTAACTCTGGTAGTGCTTCTCTGCTGAACAGCTGCTTGGAAAGAGATACATGACCCAGTCCTGCAAGTTCCCTGCATGTAAAGCTTGCATGTAATTCCATTGGTGTTATATTTGTGGAGGACTGGCCTGATCCTGCTCAGTATCTCCTGAAAAATTTCATTGACCAACTGAAAGGTAAGCTACACTGTCACCTAAAAAGCAAGGAAAATTGTCAAATCAGGCAATTAAGAAAAAAAAGAAAAGACAGAAGTGGGGGAAGGATGAAATAAGAGGTCTCAATTCACAAAAACTGGATTAGCAAGGTGAAAGCCACAATCACATGAGGTGTTTGCTGTAAAGGACAGCTTTAATCTTCATTCATCAGGTGCTCCACGGAAGCCCTGCTGGCAGAGGTTGCCTAAGGGGTGCAATAAATCAGCAGAACTTCCATCTGCCTAAGCATGCCATTTTCCTGAGCTGCAGCTACTCACTTTGAGGTTTGTCCTTGCTGTCTGTTAGCGACCAAATGATTTGACCCATTACAACTCATATTTGGGTAGACTTTCTGCTTACAAAGGCTCTCCTAATGCAATAGTTGAGTGAAATTAGTCTCGGGAGTATACTTGAAGCGAAGAGGTTCTGCCTGATCTCAAATTGGAAATTCAAAAAAGCAAAAAATTCGGTGAGAGAAAGGAAACTATTTCTATTTGTTTAAAAGATCTGACATGAGGGGCTTTGCACCTACCAAACAGGATCCAGGGGGAAGCCAGAGTTCCTGCAGAATCAGTTCCTTTAATTCAATTTCACCCTTTTGTGCAGGTTACTTTTTGGGGCCAGGGAGGTTTCAAAAGCCTTCTGCTACTTTCAAAATCTGTTATATCTTAAGTCAAATTCATCCCATGGTAATTTCATTGACTTCAGTGAATTTGCAGTTGGATGAATATGGTCCATTGGGGCAGAGTTAAAGGAGTGGCATTGTATGTAGGGAAGTTTTATTAGAAAGTGCTTAGAGAGGAGTGAAGTGTCTGGATCATGTGTCATCAACTGACTGAGGTTGGAGCAGAGTCCTGTGGATGCTTGAGAGGAACAGATGGATTTCAACCAGCAGATTTAAATGCAGTTGAAAAGATTTGGTTGAAAGTGAGTCCAGCATTGTTCGCATTGTCTTTGCGAACTTATGTAAAACCCCAAGGCTGGGTCTAGACTGGCCAGTTTTTCCAGAAAATCAGCCGCTTTTCCAGAAAAACTTGCCAGCTGTCTACACTGGCTGCTTGAATTTCTGCAAAAGCACTGACTTCCTACTGTAAGAAATCAGTGCTTTTTGCGGAAATACTATGCTGCTCCCGTTCGGGCAAAAGTCCATTTTGCGCAAAAGGGCCAGTGTAGACAGCTGAGATTTGTTTTCCGCAAAAAAGCCCCGATTGTGAAAATGGCGATCGGGGCTTTTTTGCACAAAAGCGCGTCTAGATTGGCCACAGACGCTTTTCCGCAAAAAGTGCTTTTGCGGAAAAGCGTCCGTGCCAGTCTAGACGCTCTGTTCCGAAAATGCTTAAGCAGAAGTATGTGGAATCAGGATTAACATAGAAAAACAAGCCAAGTTCATTGCAAACATGAAAGAAGGTAGAAAAAATCACAGAAAAGGGAAAGAATTAAAGGCTATGAACTGTGATGTATTCTTGTCACAGCTAGGACAAAGGGCATATGGAATTTCAAAGAACCAAGCTTTTGGAAGGCAGATCAGTAACATGAAAAGCAAGCTGCTTCTTTTCTTAAAAGTGTTTTTAACATCAATACATTGTCAGTCACGACATACAAAGTTTTGGAGGGGATGCTAAAAATTATAGGAGTGTATAAAAGGAAAAACTCAAGCTTGCTATTATATAGAGATGCATGGAAGCAAACCCAGCCAAATACATACTAAATAGACTGTAAAAAAGCTGAACAGACACATGAGTCATGCTGCAAATAAAAGAGGGAAAGAATGGACTCCTTTTATGACTAATATTGATATTAAAGAGCAAAGGCTAGTTGCTAGTTATGTATCTTTACAATACCATGGAAGATAACAAAATCATATGTACTTACAGTCTCTACTTATCACAAATGGAAAGCTTTTGCAAAACTTATTAGCTTTGATGCAAGAATATTTAGAGAAGTAAGTTTGAGACTTTTGTTCTGCAGTCAACAAAATATGGCTGTTATGACAATGTCTCAGAAGCTCTCAAGATATTTCTACAATCCACCAAGAACAGTCCAACCTGCCCAGGCACATATAAAAAGCACATGTATATCATTCCTTTGAAGGAGACAGAAATCCTGATCAGTCATACTTCTAGACCTTCCTCTTTGGTTAAACTTTTCCACAATAACTAGAATAATTCAGAATGACTCTTAGCAATTACCCAACCTCTATATACCCCAAAAAATCCTTACCCCATAAATAGTTTTTTACAATCAATACAAGGAGGAAAGCCAAAGATTTTTTTAC